AAGGTAACATACATTCAAATTGCTCACTGCAATTTTTCTTCTTTGGTTATTTGTTTGTTTTGCTTTGTCTAATTTAGAAATTTATGTAAATCAACACGTTAAACATTAAAATTAACTGAAAACAGAGTTAGTTTCAGTTTTAGAAGTAAAAATCGATTATACGACGTTATCGTTTATACGACGTTTTTCGGTGGTCCCTTCGGCGTCGTATAAACGATGCTCCATATATATATATATAAATATTAAAAAATTTAATAAATCGAATTTAAAATCGAAATACTCAAAATTACTTAAATCAAAAGTAAGCACACAACACAAAGTTTTCTCAACTAGTGTTGAATTATTTACATCCTAGAAAGGCGCATAAAAAAAAAAGAAAACTTTTTTTTTCATATCCTTGCCACCTTTTTAATGGGAGATTTAGTAGAGGGGTAAGTAAAAGGTGTATTGGCGCTGTTGGCGACTGATCTTCAGCCGCCGTCCCCCGCCCTTCAAGGTGAACGACAGACTATCGCGTGCAGTGAGCACGAACGGTCGCAGTTTTCCTACCTTTTTTTACCTGTGTGTGCCGACTCAGCCATGGATTAACTTTTAACATGGACCGGATCTCTTACTTCGAGGAGCGGCATCAGCGCTGCTCCAACCCGGCCGCTGACGAATCTCTCCGGCTACCTTCTGCCGGATGCTCTAACCGGACTTTAATTCTACCTCAGACGACTTTCGCTTGGTGGAAGCCCCTCAGGTTTATACAACAATTTGGTGAGTGCTTTCATCCTCAAACAAAAATTAATTTTTTATTGATTTTTTGAGGTGTTTATAATGTGCATAACGTCTGGAAATATTGAAAGAGAAAAGTTATAGAAAACCTATTCCCATAAATCATAGCTGTTGATATTGTCATGGATTACTATGCATAATATTTTTTTATTGTTCCATGATTTTAAATTTAGATAAACGTGATGAAATGTAAAATATTGCTTGTTCCTGTTAAAAAATATTTTGCCTTGTTTGTGAGAGGAAATTCGAACCACAGATTAGTTCTCACATTCTGCAAAATTCAAATATTATTTTTATAGAATTCTGAATTCAATAATTTCCTTTAATGTTTTATTTTATTCAACCATGGATATTAATACTTAGTAAATGATTATGAACATCTGCTTTTATTAATAAGATTTACTGAGTTATTTCTCGTGTTAGATATGAATATGTAGCAACAGTTTGCAAAAAGTGCTAAATTTGAAAATTTATTTTAAGTTGTATCTTCTGAAAAATAATGAATTAGCAGCTTTCTTTTATTTTAACAACATGAGACAACAGCCAAAGGGAAAAATATAGTTTAGTTTATTAACAATCATTTTTTTTGCACATTCTGATTTCCTAGGAAAACTTCACGAAATTGAAATAACTAGTTAATTGTGATTTTTCATGTTTTTATTTTGATAATATACATAACTTTAATTCATTTAATTCATTCATTTTTTGATAACATATAATGCGAATTGTATATGTATGCATTTTTTAATGCATCATAGCGTATTTCATATAAAATTGTTATTTAATGATTCGTTGAATTTAAACTGAGTTTTAATAATAATTAACATCTTGCTGCATTTTGGTTGTTGTGTGATTTGAGTATAGATATTCAGAAATTGTTTTTTTATTTTATGTGAATTGATCAGAGTACACATTACTAAACAATAAACGCTGTTGTATTTTTTAGTTTTAAAATTAATAAGAAGATAAACTTATGACAAGAATCTTTCGAGATTTGACAATTTTACAAAAGTTTAAATAGTAACAGTTTCTTAGTATTTCCATTTTATTTTAAAACTTTCTAACTTAAAATATTGTTGATATTCTTTATTAATAACCTCATTATATTTTTTAGAAATGTTACAAAAGTGTAAAATATATATTTTTAGGAACATCAAAGTGATTTCAAAATCTGTTCCAATTTTTATAAAATGGTGTTTAAACGATTTTGTATATGTTAAAATGATGTGAGGGCTAATATTTTTAGGGGAAAAAATCAGAAGCAAGGGTAATAGAATTTATCTGTAATATTCGTTTTAGTTTGAGTACCACTTGATGCTTTAGTTAGGAGAATAAAAATTGCTCTTCACTTAATTATCTTATTGATAGTTTTTGTAATTTCGCATCTGATTAGCAGGAATTTTTCAACTTAAAATCTCTGGAAAAAAATCTTATTACGTTTGCCATTAGATCAACAAAACAAATAATACTGGTAATATTTTATGCATATCTTCATATAGTGCGAAATTTGTAAATGAATATATTATATGTAGTCTTTGAAATTCACCTGATGTTATAACTAATTCTTACTCCTTAAACGTGTATTTTCTTTTTAAAATAAATGGATTGTTAGTTTGTAAATATTCACTAATAAAAAATGGGTTCATCTTAAATATCCATCACAAGTAAAATACACTATGATTTCCTTTTCTTTAATTTTCTTTATTATTATTGTAATTTATTTTACATTACTTTAACGCATGTCCTTAATGTTTAAAACACTATTAAATTTTTTTTCATTCTCTTGGATTGCTTGAATGATTTCTTATTTGTTTACTTCAGTCATTCCAAGAAATAATTATTTGAATACGTAGTCAGTAATTTAATAAAGTGATTAAAAATATCTTTAAAAAATAACGCAAAAACCGCTCAAGTATGAACTATCAAAACATTTTCATCATCACTAGATTATTTCATGTCTTTTTCCAATTACCCAGATTTATAACTGTAAGTAAGTGAAAAAAAATTCTCAATTAAAATTAGTTTTTAAGAAAACCAATTTTTTTTCTTGAAAAAGGAACTCAATAAACAATAGAAACGCTGGTATATTTTTTCCATTCCTGCTTCTTTATTCAAACATTTGCATTTAAACTGTAAAAAATAAATAATGTAAAGTTTTACTTTCAACTTTTAATGGGTATTTTATTCTGCTTTGTAATTTGCTTTTCATGTTACAGAATTGTGGATAATTGGTTATTTACAATATAGTTGGGTATAATATCCTAGGATAATTTTTTTCTCTCCTTAGAATCAAATTTGTGCTATTTATATTTAATTACTTTTTTATTTCTCTAAATATAGCAATTAAATATTAATTCCAATTAAAGGTAGCTGATACAGGGTACATACATTTTTCAATGCCACAATAAAAATTTCTTCAATTTTTTTTTAAATGAAATATTTTAATTGAACAAAAATAGATAATTTCTTGATTGGAGATATATTTTATTGATGACACACAATTGAGTGATATTTTGATTTAAAAACATCGATTTTCTATGCCTAACAAAAGCTTTTTCTGAGAATCATACCTCAGGCTAAGATCTTTACCCGAAAAACCAGATCAAAGAAATGAGACCGAGTGGACATCGGCCATCTACAGTGGGAGTTGGAGGACAATAGTGATAATATCGAAACAAGTGGGCCGTGGAAAAGATTGCACCCACTTGAAGTCTCTGGATCGGCAACTAAGCGTGAAAATTGGCCAGCTAAGCCCTTTTGCCCTCAACGCATAGATTTACGTTCATTATCTTCCTTTGAACGATGTACCAGGATGGCTAGCTCCTAACGCTCTATGCCTTCATTTGGGAATATTCCAGAGGACATCGATCTTTTTAGCTACGCAGCTTAGGAAGATATTCATACCTATCGAATAGTTTGATTCCTTAATATATCTGTTGCGAGAGCGGTATCTTTATCTGAATGAGCCCGTAACCATTGATTCAAATTATTTCTCGTTTAAATTTATTTTTTGCAATTTAGATAATTTTATCTTAGTGTTTATAATTATGTATTTGTACTTATTTCGCTAAATTTTAAATCAGGTGACGGGATAATCAACGATAAATATTTTCAGTGATTTCATTTTTAAAAGTTTGTTTACATCAAATTTGGGGGGAAAGTATAATTTTACTCTTGAGAATCTTGATTGTGTTCGAGTGTGAACATCAGTGATTGATTCAATTTCTCAGTATTGTCGTTTTTGCTTACAGTTTTTATCTTTTTGTAAACCGTCTTTACCTGGTATACGTCATTTAAGGTTGTGTTTTTTCTCCTACTTATTCAAAATAAATATTAAAAATGTTAGTTATGGCAGCGATGTTGAATTAGAAATTATAATCCTAAATTTAAAAATAATAATGTTAATGACAATGTAAAAACGCCTTCACGTTAAATATACTAATTTTGATATTGATGATACGTTAATAATAACCGCTTCTGAAGCATTAAAAAAGAAAATTCGCGCAATTCAATAAAAGGGTGTGCGTTATTTAATCCTAATAAACTCACTCGCCTGGAAAATAATAAAGAGCATAGGCATGCTATGCATATTTGATAATCATAAATGATAACGACGGGAAGTTTTTCTAACGGAAGGGCATATAACAGAACTACTAAATGCACCCCTCTCTTAAGTTTTGGGATCCCTAAATTTAATAAAAACTGTTATAGTAATAGAATGGCTAGGGATTAGATATGGGTAGTCGAGGAGGAAAAAAAAAAATAGAGAACTGTAAAGGGGATGTTCGGGAAATGGGCGGAGTATATCTCTCTAAGGTCACGCAATCATAAATACTTATAAAGTAGTCACGTGCCGGCACAGGTAGAATCATCACGGAATCATCGGTGTGGTCAGTCATTACAGCCTTGAAAGAAATGTCCTTTGTGTAATTCTTTACTAGACATACAGCCAAGTAAAGTTAGACGTGATTAATTTTCCCATCTCCTTTTTAACACACTATTAGCAGGTTGGCTCTTACACTATTATCTTTCAGAAGTCCACAATTTTGTTTATTGGCACTTCGTTATATCTTGTTCTCTGGAAAAGAGAACATTCCTCTCTCATTCCTTTTCTTTCTTTTCTTCTTTTTTTTTTTAGTTAATATGTTGCAAAAATCAGCCTGAATCAACTCTATTAAAAAAGGGGAGAAGTTCGGAAAAAAATATTGAAGGCAATGTTTTTATCTGTGAAAATCAAGTTTTGGATAATCAATTTAAATGAAGCAGCTACAGAGCCTGATTCATTAAAAGATCGTGCATATTGATTTTCGTTTATTTTTAAATTTAAAAAAAAAATGGATTTCAATTTTATTTTATGACTCAGCCTTGCAGCATATTATTAAATCTGTTCAACTTATTTATTTAAATGTTCTAATTCACTTATAGTATAAATTCGCATTTGCGCTATTCTAATAAAAATTTAGCTTACGTTCATTAAATATAAGTCATATTTTTTTCTTGGTTTTTTATTTGTCATTTAAGAAAGTGTGAACTTTCTTAAATATCACTTTAAAGCTTTCTGTAAGAAATCAAATAATTGGTAACCCCCCCCCCCCCACCCAAAAAAATATTTTTACTGAAAACTCAATCATAATATACATTATTATAGTTCGTGATAAATGGTAATTTAAGAAAAATTACAGAAAAAAAGTTTTTGCGAAATTTAACGATTTACATTTGAGAAAAAAAACAAACATAGTAAGTGAAAATGTTAGTCATTAAACAGTAGTATTAAATGAGATAAAAGTTAAGAGTTCAAACGCAATTAATTACATTTCTAACTAGTGACTAGTCAAAAACTACTGTAACAGCCATATATGATTCATTTTTTTCATATCACTAAGTTTTAAATTTGTTTCCTGTCCTCCTTTATTTAAATTAAGAAAAGAAAAATTCATCTTTTTATCAACACTCTTATCAAAAGTTTAAGATTGCCTATAATT